CTTAATAAACCGCTGCAAACCAAAAATATTAAACATCAATATATGGTGGGACAGATATGACTGAACTCTTATAAGCTGAAATTACTGAGGACCTTCTCAGCAGCTTCAGCAGTGGTATGACAGAGTTTGTCTAATGGTCTTAAAGGATTTAGTGGGTGTTTTTGAAAAAGGATATTCAAGTTTTAGGATACTAGATTCTCAATAACTATCATCTGAAGGGAGAACCACTCATGCAGTAGCGCCATGTTACGTGTTTAATTTAAAGGGTTGACAGGTTGTTGAACTGCCCTGCAAGAATTTCATAGTTCTTAGGGATTTTTACCAGAAAAATACTTGATTTTTCTTCTTTGTGTGCATGTGTGTTCAATTATTTAAGGATGTGTAACAATTTCAGTGTGGATTTGTGCTAAAAGTTATTTGCATATAAGTCCATGTTGAAGAGAAAAGTTGTGATTATGCCTCTAGGCAGATTTCAGCTTTTTACCGTGTGCCTGTGAAAGCAGAGAGGCTTGTGAAGTTGAAGATACAAATCTTATTTTTGTGTGGGAATAGTAAGATGATTTCCTTGCTCTTTTTTTCATTATGTCTCCATGTGGGTAAAGCTAGAAAATTCATAGTTAAATTCATAACTGCAAAATGTGTAGGCTGTTAGGACTGAGTCATCATTCATGGTCGATTCTATACAGATCCCAGATGGCAATAAAGACTATTTTCTAAAAAAAAACAATCAGTAAGAAAACATAACAAGGACGACAACATACACTGGGCTAATTATGAAAGAATCCTTTTGAGGCTGAAGAGAAACTGGCACATCTCCCGCCATCTTTCCCACACCTCATCCTTGGCCCCTGTCACAGCCAGCATCAGCCTTCTCTCCACATGCAGGTGGACACATCTTTGCCAGCCAATGGAGAAGCACCCCACAGATGGGAAAACCAGCTCCTCTCAGTGTTCCCCAGGAGCGTCCCTGGCACTTGTCCTCCTCAGTTTTATAACCCTCTTCAACTCCACTTCTCTGGGATAAATAGGGATTGTGTAAATCAGTGACCTCTCAATAAAATCCCACCACGGGCTTCTGTCCGCTCTCACAGCTCGATTCATTATAGTGCCCAGGAACTGAACAAAGAGACTGTTGAGCATAGTGATGGTAGAGGTATGTATTCAAATTCATACAAAAGTTTCCTTTTGAATCGGTGACTGTGTGGTCGCTGAAGACTCATTCACAAGGAGACACACACACACACACACACACACACACACTCACACACACACACACACACACACACACACACACACACACACACACACACACACAGTCCTTTTCAGTCCTTAAAAACATGCTGTTCTTTTGTCAAAGCATCCTCAACATTACGGGAGAAGATCTATATTATCCACTTATTTCTAAGTGAATGAGCCGTGTATTCAGTGGGGGCTTTCCAACATGGAGAAGGTTGATATCCTCAGTCCAGTCTGTCTATGAATGTAATCTCCATTCATCACTGCAGACTCCTGGCAAACTTCTAAAGTTGGATCATATTCTGACGTGGTTTCACAGTCAAAGAGGCTGCAGCACTTAACTTATTAAAGCAATCAGTGATTCCCATATATTACTAACTGTGTGGAGCTTTCGGGTATTATATTCAAATAACAGTCCAATTTTCACACTCCGAAAGGACAGCCATAAGGATTAGAAAAGATGTGGTTATTAAGTTTCTACCTACATATATTTTAGGAAGGAACTAAAAGTAGTTGATAGGTTTAAGAAAAACACAACCTGAAAGGATTAAAAGGTAGTTCAAAGAAGTAGTTTCAATTGCATTTTTGTGAAAGAGTGTCCATTAATACCTACAGCCAGGAGATGGATAGCTAGTCCAGAACACCCTGTACAGCACAACTTGTTTTTATCCATTGGTTTCATATGGATTAAACAAAAAAGGAAAAAAAAGTTTGAATTAGGGACTTTTAGAGATAAGAGATAAGCATTTTTTTTTTTACTTTTGGACAGAGCTGTCTAGCTGTTTCTCAGTTTTTCGACTCTTTATAGTAAGCTAAGCTAACCATCTAGCTTCATATTTAACCGACAGACACAAGCCTAGTATCTATCTTCTCATCTAACTCCGGTCAATAAGCAAATAAGGATAAAATGAGAGCTATCAATATGATTTCAAAGAAAAGTTTAAGGAACAGACTATATGTTAAAAACTAGAATAACTATGGTTTTTGTGCCTCCGCCAAACAGTCAAGTTGCAGTTTACATCCATGCCTGTCTAGACTAATAATGTATGTAATAATAATGTATGTAGTGAATACTGTAGTTAGTTTTCTCCTGGCATTATAGATGAGCTGTGGGTGACACTCACTCAATGGCTCAGGGCTAGCTAGCCACGCTCCTATACTTTGTTATTCACGTGATTCTGATGACACTCAAAATTCTGAATTTGGCCGTAAGTGTAAGACAGAATAGATGAGATGCATGAAAGCATGTGCTGTGATAGTTAGTTTACTTATTGTGTCCCAGTCAACCTGTGTTTGAAATTCATTCACTCAGCCTTAAATTATGGCTACAAACCTATTTTAAGGTGACAATGAGCAAAAACAAAAGTACAGTGAAGTGGACCTTTGACCTTTTGGATAAAAAAAGGTCATCACTTCATTGCCGTATCACATTAAAGTTCTCAGTGAAACTTTGTTATAATTGATAAAAATGTCTTTGTCAAGGTCATTTTAAGGGTCAAAGTGACCTTTCACCTTTGAGCCAAAAGTTTTACCAATTAATTGTCCGATCAATTCTTAAGTTATGGTGTTTTTGACCAGTGACCTTGAACTTTGACCACCAAAATCGAATCAGTTCATCCTTGAGTCCAAGGGGACGTCAACATTTCAGGAAAATCTCTTGAGGCGTTCCTGAGATATCACACTCACAAGTATGGGGCAGACGGTTATACGGACTGAGGGACGGACAGACATTTTTTTTTATGCCTCTGTGCTATCGCCGGCGCAGAGCAATAAAAACAGGTGTATTTGGACTAAAATACATTTCTCCACCCTAACCTTCATCCACTCTCTCCTTGAGCTTGTCAATAGTCTCCATCTCTCTGTTGGGAATCACTGGACTCATCAGTATCATTCTATCTTTACAATCAACCCTGATGACACAATCTTGATTCAACATCTAAAACTGAGTAATCTGAAATGCATTCATTAACTTAACATTTTTAACAGCTATGCTCATGGCTTCCAATGTCATCTTCATACAGTAAGTAGCATGTACCCTGATTAGACTGCATCAACACTGCTGCATTAGCAGTCATTCAGTCATCAGCAGTTTCAGGTGTAATATAAAATATTCATGTAATGCTTGGTGTATGTCATGTGTATAAATTTACTGGATGTGTAATTGTTGCATGCAAGCACAAGTTTCTATTAGCTCTGACCTTTTCACTACCGGATTTCCCATCACAACATTTTACCAAAATAAACAACTTGACATCTTTTGTGTTTCTAAAGAGGGTTAATGTTGAAGAGATGTCTAGATGTGGAGTGCATGTTGCTGTTAGAGGTGTTATTTATATGCTTTTAAAGCATGAAGCTGGTAATGTGATGAAATTGCACTATTTGAACAAGTCACTCTGAAGTGTCCTTCAGTGTGATGTCACAACTGGAGAAAATAAATTAAGGAGCAGGGTCAGTGACATTAGCAGCCAATCACAAGTTTCATGACAGATTCATTACAGCTGTGGAGCACTGGACACGAAATATATTTTTTGTGTGCCAAAAACTCGTCACCGTTGTACTTCCCAATAATGACAAATCATAACAATTTGTCACAAAAATAAGAAGAGTGTATACTTTGCTTTAGCTATTAATATATATTTGGCTGAATAACAATGGTGTTTTTGCAAGATCTAAATCAGCACCACCCTAACATCTGCACAAGAAGTGCCAATCTGTTTGGTAGATAGTAAATGTCTATAATAGTAAACAACTGGTTAACCATTTGCCATAGATACAAACATGAAAAATATGGTGAAAAATGCTCATTACCTGTAAGCAAATGAAGTCTCTGTGACTTATGCATTAGGTACGGCTGCACATTACACTGCTAATTAAAAATATCTTTATATGCGTATGGTTGACATTCCAAAGCTTTGCTGGAAATAAAAAGATAGAGCTTACTTGTGTTTGTGTGTGTGTGTGTGTGTGTGTGTGTGTGTGTGTGTGTGTGTGTGTGTGTGTGTGTGTGTGTGTGTGTGTGTGTGTGTGTGTGTGTGTGTGCGTGTGTGTGTGATAAATGTGTGAACTGAAGTTAATGGAAAATGTAACTAAATTATGCCTACATAGTCACTCACAACACCCAGTGCATCATGGTAATTATGGCGTGTGAGGGCAATCAGAATTAATTAATTATGCTCAGATGCTTTGCCTCTGGCAACCTTTCATACGTGTGTGAAAGGTCAGTTTTCTTTGCGGTGGGAATGAAGTCGCTGACAAAGTGATGGACGTCTCTGTGAATGTTGATGCTTCAAACAGAATCATCCCAGGTGGATTCTTATTGTAGCCAAAGTAAAATCTTTCCACTCAGCATCCTATGAAGACTTACTGGCATCTAGTTTGACTATGGTGTGAGCTACATCTGTGGTTTAACGCTAGATGTATGTAATGATGAAGTGACCATTTACTCGAAAACAACGGTCACGGCTGGTTAGTGTAGGTGCTACAAACTGGCATCAATTATATCAGAACTGGAGAGTATTTCTTCATTGAAAGAAGAGCAAAGAACTGCACTGAAGGCTTTTCTTGATGGAAAAGATGTTACATGGTTCGTTGATCTGATTGGTTGAAGTTCGCAGACAGTGATAGACAGATGGTTCATCCAATCAACTGCTAAGTTTTTTTTGACATTTTCCAAACTGTTTCCAATGCAAAATTTCACAGTTAGGTTATAAATGCATGCAAATGTAACAAAAACAGTGAACTTGTGATTGAATTTTCCTAATTACCTGAATGGAAACGTCACTGTAGGATCCTCCAATGACCCCAGAGATAGCCAGTGGAACCTCATTTTGGATGGGTCTGGAGCCGTCTGGGCAGATGAAGCCTGGATCGTGCACCTTGGTGAGGGAAGCCCTGACAAAGTCTAGAGACTGCTCCAGAGCATACATGTCCTTCGAGCAAGTGTCCAGTATGTGGGCCCCCAGCTGGAGTCCGGGAAGGATGCGATCGCTGGAGTTAATCTCATCAAGTGCCAGCAGCATGGCTTCCAGTCTCTGGATCCCTCTCTCCTCGTTGATCTTACCACAGTCCTCCATCCCTTCACCTTTGTGGTGCACCGGGAACAGGCCTCCAATCACCAAGTCCCCGTCCAAAATGATCTCACGTTTGGCCACGGGTGGTAATCTTGAGATGCTGGGCAGGACTCCTAGTATCAGCAGCTCCAGAAGGAGCATGTGAAGAGGCCAATAATGGGCAGAATTGGCCAAGGACCTGGGGCAGAGCACTACACTCAGCATGGCAGGATCAGGAAGCAGGGTTCAGCTGGTTGAAGTAGAGAGGAGCAGAGGTTCACAGGCTCTGGAGGCAGATCACATTGGAGTCTTCTCTCAGTGGGTGCAGCATGTTTGATAGTACCTGAGCAAATGAAAGGAAAAAGTAATTACCAAGGTAATCAAGCCTATTTCATGATCTATCTATCTATCTATCTATCTATCTATCTATCTATCTATCTATCTATCTATGTCAGAAAATACCATTTTGCTAATGAGGTATGACACAGAAATTATTAATAACATAACCATATGTCTCAAAAGGTGCATTATTGACGCCCACTGACAGCTTATATTTGTGCCTTTTGTCACTGATTTTCATTTGTGCCATTACTCTCTTTCAGTGTTTCGCCCACAGAGTTATTCAAAGATATGAAACAGTCACATCAAGGCTTACAGCTTCATGTCTTGGTGTGGCTGTTTTATCTCTAAGCCAGTGTATATCTAAACTTTCTATTCCAAGTGGTCTTTTTTTCCCTACGGGCCAATGCAATCTAAAGAAATGTTAATGACAAATAATGCTATTATTGGACAGTCTAAACCCGAGACTGTTTTGACGGAGGCTGGAATTGCGGCTACGAGTCTTATGAGTTACTTTCTGAAGTGAAACATAAGTAGAGATTATTTCAGCCAGGCTCTCGGGGATGCCAGAGTGAAATATTATCACTGCAGTTTTATCTGAAAGACAAACTTGGAGTTACCACTGCCGAGTGACCACATCAAACATTTATAGATATTTAAGGCACCTCTCAAGTGAAACGTAATTTTCCAAGCTTACAACCGACATATCACATAGATGGTGGTTCTCCTCAATGGCTGGGGTTGCCATGGAAACACAGTGGGTAAAAAAAAAAGGGTTGGACTGCAGGAAAGTGGGCAGTGAGACATGTATGCTAATATAGATTCTTATCATGTTGAGGTTACAGTTTTAGGTCTCACCAGGAGTTGTTATGATGTCTGATTAGGGAGGTGGGCTGGTTCAATCACAGAGAGAGAGGGAACCAATCATGTTTGTTCAAAACACAGTCACTCATCACATTCATCAAACACACACACAAGTTCAACAAACACATTGATTGGAGCAGTCTTTACATAGAGAGAATAGACTTTTAAGGACTTCAAGCAGTATTAGTCACATTATTTAGAAGTCAAAGGAAAGCACAAAGTACACATGAAATTGTCTGTGTCTGCTTTGGATTTTTTTTTAATCCAAGTTCAGATTTCGCAAGCTGCCAAGCTCTGAGGATTTTCCAGCCACCGTGTGTGTAGTTTGGACTTTTCGTTGTGCAGCTGCTCCCCTCTCTATTAACAAGCAGTAGGGAACTTATTCGTGACTTTTCCTATTCTGTCACACAGTGTTGTTACTGACATTGCAACATTACATAAAATGTGTCACTTGTAGACCCAAATGTATAATCACTTCTATTATTAGTAGATCTCTGAATATCATTTTATTTAATCTGTTTGTGTGTGTCCTGTTTCCTGTGCTCACAGAGGCAGAGAAACCCCACAGTGGGGTATGCAGGGGTAGGTTACAAAAACACCAGCTCCTGCAGCTATATCCAGATAAGTTCATCTGGTATGTGTGTGTGTGTGTGTGTGTGTGTGTGTGTGTGTGTGTGTGTGTGTGTGTATTTTCAGGGACATTTGAAGAATATCCTGTGACATCCCAGAAGCAGCGCAACCAACAAACAGAGAAAACGAGGAGAAAAAAAGTATAATGAATGCTGAATTTCCCCGCAGATAAATATTACATCAGGTCGTGGGTGGGAAACCATGTGGTACATTGATGGATCCACTACCCTCTATGCAGTGGGGAGGATTACATGTTGTAATGTGTGAAGTCGTAATGTAAAAGCTGTCTCAGACCTGCTGCATGTGCTGGACAGTTGGTGCAGGTGTTTGGTATTGCTTCGTCACATTTGCCCTATTATTAGAACCAAGGTGAGAAAGTAACTTCAGACTTCAACATTAAGAGTCTAATTGCTCCTCTGTGCTGTCTGTTGGAGCAGATGGGGGCTTTCTGGTTGCAAAGACTAGGTCACAGTGTGAATTAATGGCGCAATAAGGGGCAGTCAATTAGGCAGGCCTATATGCAAACTAGGCCAAAGTGAGGCTGGAGGTCCTGAAAGAGCCTCTCAAAACCTTTAAGAAGTGCAAATAAATTCTGAAGAGTCTGAAGTGGGCATGAGCTACAGCTATCAAAACCATATCTCCTACCAATATTTGAAACACTTATTAAATGGGGAGCTGTGTTATCAGTTCGCATGAGCGTTAAATCTCAGCCTCTGATTAGTTGTAAAGTAACTCCTATCAGGCCTCGATCACATCATTAAGACTATCTTGATGTAGAAATGGCTGTCACACTCACACTCGGCAGCTGAGAGAGTCACTCGCTCCCCAGATGTCTGAGCACAATATTCCCTCTGAAAGGCGAGTTCAAAAAGAAAAGGCAGTGTGCTTTACTCAGCTTTGAAGCATCAGCTAATGCATTACTGCGCCCGCCCAGGACAGAGAGGATTTCGCAAACATTAGCATAAAGATGCTTTGAGAAAAAGCCATTCCTTATTGTCTTATCCAAATGTAGCAAATGTGTAATGTATGACTCACTGCAGTGATGAGGGATTGGCACGTATATAATCCTACTATGTACACGCATCTATGGAGAAATAACATGTTATTCATGTCTGGAAAATGAGCTGAAGAGATGGTTTAGAGGGTGAGGGACTAACCACCTGTTTGTTATGTTGATAAACTCTACTATGATCATGCAAAATGAATCCATTTCAATGTGTCACTTAATACTATCATGTATAATAATTTTATTAATGATAATTTCAGTAATATCACCTCAAGTTTTTAGACTAGATTTGTTTGGCACATAGCCTTTTGTTGAATATTTGAACATACATAATGTGACATTTAATTTTGTGTCAAATCTACTGCACACAAATCATTAAGCATGTTGAGTAATAACAGCCTAAACACAACATTTGCCTCATGAGATTTATTTAACATATTGCTTTCCAAAGTTAACGTGACCAACACTAATAGGATGATAATTTATAGCAGAGTTTTTTTTTGTGTGTGTGTGCTCATTATTACGACAAAATCCACAAGATGGATTATGAACAAAGCGGTGTCCTTTTCCCAAGCAAAACCCAGGTTCACTTCTTTCTTCACATGTGATGTGACATTGAAGAGCAACATATTTTCATATTATTCTGGAAAAACTGAGATATTCAGTCAGAGGACACAAGACAAATCACCTGAACCATTTAACATTATGACCTTTCATTATCCTCTAAAGGGCTGGAACTAGCTGTTAAAAGCAAACGATCTACCTAATGAAATACAAAAAAAAGAAAAAAAGTCACCACAACTCCACTAATGATTTCCATCATTATATCATCTCCAGTAGGGACACAGTTTATCCCTCCACCTGGACTTTGTCAGCTGAAGGAATTAGGATGCCTCTTTGGTGGCCGGCAGCCAGTTGACTGTGAATTTGAACATAGATCAAGTGCATCATTTCATCAAAATAACACTGGGACATCTGGTTGTCAGTCTGTTCAGCTCTCAAAAACAACAGATCATTTTATTGTGATAACAATATCGCACCCGGATGTTTATTCACAAGAAAAAGACTGAGAGACAAAGTGCAGATATGAGAATGAGCCTACAACAGGTTGTTTATTGACTGTTGGCCACCATGTTACCATCCAATAATAACATGATAATACCATTCATAGAGCCATGGTGGTGGAATTACAGTAACCTACCTACATCCTCTTACATTGGAGAGAAAGCCCGCTGCTACATCACATCCTGTCTGATCCACTGACAACAATTTCATGCATGCGATCGTGGATTTTTTAATGTTTTGCACAGACCAAATACTTCCATGCATCTTGCAAACTGAAAACAACACAATTACATTCACAGCAGGATGCTATTACTTTGTTTGGGACGCTGTCTGAAAACAAAAGCTCTGATTGGTTTAAGAAGAGCGATATTAGATTATGCAATTTTTAGTTGAGACAATTATGACTGTGCTGCATATTCTCTTGGGTTCGAGTGGGGAAACAACTTAACATATCCATCAGCAACACATGCCAGTATACGGTCACATAGTATAGGATACACTACTACATTAAGTTCGAACATATTCATTGGTGACCATGTAACAACTGATTAATAATAATAATGGATTTAATGGCAGTTAAACTGATATATTGTCGACTCAAATCTTACATGGCTTAAAGCAGTAAAAAAGGCAAAGACAGATCGAACAGGAAAACGCAGAGACAAAGTCATTTCCAAGGCAGACTTTGTGGGGTAAAAAAGCCACCCTACTACTGTGTAAAAAAATCAAAGTTATTAAGTTATCATTTCTTACCTGGTTGTGTACACTAGATGTATCTTCCCGGATATATCTGCAGGTCTCTTTTTCCACAAGCCCGTGCGACAACACACACAGAGACAACGTGAAGAGCTTCATGTGACGAGCGGAGTCCAGATGTTGTTCACTTTGAGCTTGTTTGCCAGGCAGCGGTTGGGATCTGTCCTTGGTTCTGAAGTGATGTTCACATGGGCAAGTGTGGCAAACTCCTCTCGGTGTTCTCCCAACTTGCGCCCGCCAGACCCACCACCGTGTGTGTGTCTGTGTGTGTGTGTGTGTGTGAGAGAGAGAGAGAGAGAGAGAGAGAGAGAGAGAGAGAGAGAGAGAGAGAGAGAGAGAGAGAGAGAGCCTACAGACCGGAGCAATATAATCGAAGCGCCCAAATATTGCTCATATGTCCACCAGCATCGACAGTGATAATGCTCGAAGGATTCTCCTATATGTTTTCTGTCAGCTGGACCGAGAGGCAAGTTAATCTAAATTGCGACACTTTCTGGCATTATTTTTTTCCTATTTATAGTAGTGTCTCATCGGGATGTGAATCAAAATCAACTTCCAAAAACAAGAGCTATTGAGAAATCCTTGCTGTAGCGCCGTCGGATCACGCACATGCAACCGCTCTGTGCGCAGCTCCACAGCTCTAATGAGTGCAACGAGTCGACGCGCTCTCCTTTCAGAAACCTGACTGCGCTTCAGAAAGCGTTTGCTTGCAAGGCAGCGAAGTGAGTTGCAGCACCGAAACAGGAGCGACTCAAAAAAAATAATTAAAAAAAAATCTTAACCAAGAAAAAATAAAAAATAAATCTGCTGTTTATTATGCAGGAGTGAGGAATAAAAAACATTGTGCATTAATCAAAATCCCAAATCTTGTTTCCAACTTCTCACAGGTATTTTTTTTTGGTAAGTGACTCATCCATTGTATTCCCTGTGGAACTGAGCTTGAATGGTGTCAATCTAACTTTTAATGAACCCCCCACCCACCAAAAAAAAAAAGAAAAAACATCTTTCCAAACAGACTATACAAGGTGCTGCAGCTCTCCGGCTATATTTAGAAAGATGAGAAAAGAGAAATGATCAACTTTTTTTTGTTTCCCTCTATGAAGGCTGGCCAGCTCCTCATTCACCTCCATCTCATTAAAACTGAATCACACTCCAGATGAGTGGCATGGCACTCATAAAACTCACAAACTAAAAAGGGCACATTGCACAGTTTGTTTTTCCACTAGAAAAGTGTGCGCACGCATGCACACACACAACTCAAAAGCAAAAGAGTTCATATGATTTCAACCGCAATTCAGTCATAAGGGGGTAGGATGGAGGCATACTTGAGCTCAAGGTTAATCAAATACAGAAAAATCATAACTCGTCCTCATGTGTTGTGTCGTAGCAGATAACTCTTTATATAAAAATTGTTTTTGACATTCTCCAGTCAAAACAAATGACCCTTAGGCTACTCTATTGATTCAACCTATTAACTATTAAAAAGCTGTGTTGCCAGCAGTGGAAAACTTCAAAGTCTTACTGGTAATTAAGGTTAACATGCTGTTCTGTAGCAAAGCATTCTGCAGAGACACCATTTCATGCAATAAACTCTTCCAAAACAATATTACATCAGCAACATTCCTGTTGCATAATTAGGGAGGAGTTCAGAAAAGGTCTGCTGCACCAGTTCGGTGTGTGTATCCAATTCTGCATCACCAGTTACAATTAAATCTGGAAACATTCAGGAAGCAACATAAAGTTCATTCAGTACAAATTCATTGCTCACCCATTTCTGTCACCTTCACACGCTTAAGCACCAGCACCAACACCAGCACCAGCACCACCACCTCCTCTCACCCACACACACAAAACACATCACCATTCTCAAATGTTTCATTTCCGAACTAACAATAGATACTTTGCAGTTAGAGGTTGGGAAAATAACTTTTTTCTCTGTACAGTGGCAATTAAAATGACGAGCGGGGTCCTGCTTGTTGCATAATTCCCTCAGCTAACACAAAGGGACCAATTTTCTCCTGAAATAGAATTGTAGTTTACATTACAATAGTTGAGGGCATGTGGGTGGAATGCAGAGTTTAGATAGGAACATGCCAATTAATGTCGAGTGAAATTATAGAGGACAGAAACAAAGCGTTGCTAGTGGTCAGTGTGCATCAGTCTGATTCTGACTGCTGCTCTCTTGTGATTTTCTGATAATTCAATGTTAATGAATGATTACAAAACAATCTGTCCAAAATTCACTTTCTCTCTGTGGTGTTTATGCTTTGTTGATATTTACAAGTACGGAAACGTGTCGTTTTACAAAAAAAACCAATAACTTCTACAATGTCTACAATGTCGAGAGAAAGTAGACAAATCTCTTATGATCAGGGTGCTTTCGCCTCAGCTAAGTCATCGCTTTCAGGTACCCACAACTAGACCATTATAAGTCCTCCACAACATCTACTGTTTATCAGCAGGGAATTCTGGTTTTGTTTGAGTGAAAAAAAGTCAGTTCACCAGACCTATTAAAAACACATTGTCTCACACGCTACTGGTGATACCAAGCCATGCACACAGAGTGAGAGTTTTTGTGGTGCACAAAATAGTAAAAGCTTTACTTGAAAACAGTTACTCTGCAAAATCCACAGACCTCAGCATTAATTTGGAACTAAAGTGTTTTCTACTGAAGTCTCTGTTTTTCTTTCTTTTTTCACTGCCCACACCAAGGTAACTCTGTTTATGGATTATGCATTTGTAATGACATTTTACTGTTGAATTTTTCCAATTGTTTGATAGTTTAAACAGCAAAAACTAAATTCCACTAACATGTTTTTTGTTTGTTTGTTTGTTTGTTTATTTGTTTGGTTTTATCTTTGGAAACTGTCCATTTAAGCCATCCTGTAACTGGCAGGTCACAGCAGATTCAGCTTCCAATCCCAGGATTTCATTCTTGATGAATTCTGTTCGATTGCCACTTGGTACTTATTTCCTTTTATTTTTTGCTATTATTTCTATTGATCAAGATATGATTGTATTCACTAAAGTAACTGATGAGAACACAGAAAAATGGCCAATGTGGCAAGAAACTCGAGCAGTCAGACAATCAGATAAAAGATTGTCAAGCCAACAGTTAAGTCAGATCACTGAAACTACCTAATAGTTTTTTTTTACTAGAGGTAAAACAAGAGGTTAAATCTGGAGTTTGGGTAACAATTGCCTTTGTTTTTTTACCAGGAACAGTTTTATAGTCCGAAATTATAAAAATAACAAACAAGTTGTAATACACCAGAATTACCCTTTAAATATTCATAGATATGAAATAGTATTTACCTACCGAGCCTCCGAGATAATTACTGTGTCACACAAATGATGCCATATTTACGTCTAGTTACGTTTAGATTCCCTATGCCCTCACTCGTGTTGAAAATTAACAATGTAGCCTACAAATAATTCACAGACCAGCATGGACTCAGCAAGTTACTACCACATGGGTATACTTTAGAAAGCAAGGAGTACACCCACTACTCCTGGAGAGGTTTTCTAATTACACACACACACACACAAAGCATCTCAGGACTTCACTCTTACTCTTGAAGCTTATTCATCTTATCTAACTTGATCCTCTGGGAATTTAACCCCATCTTTAGAGCAATCAGCATTTAGATTAAAAATGTAAACCCACACTATAGATCATCTTATTTGTAGAACATTTTTCAGGTAAAAGCTCAGCATTCTGCCAATTAAGTCTCTGCAGCAACTCCAATTTAGAGTAAATTAATGAATGAGTGATGCTGTAACAGGCATGGTTTGTTTTATTTTTTTCATGCTCCTATGTTACGGTGGCATCAGAGCATAATGATTGCAAAGAGAAATCACTAATGTAGAGTTAGGCTGCTAAAGATTTCCATGAATGCAATACTATTTTTCTCAGAGGCCACAGTGACAAATAATTTTCTCAAAAATGCAATTCAGACCATAACCAATAGTGGTTGGTTGCCTCTAACAATAAACAATACACTACTGAGCCCTGGTCCAAGAAGTCGGTTTACTGGGTTATCGGGATAACTTTGTTGTGTAAAACCCCTAATCAGCCAATGCCCAAGATTTGTTCCAGGTTTACTGAGTTATCCAGATAACTCAGTAAACTTTCTAGTTGAAACAGGTCCCTGATTGGATAAGTACCCAGAGCCTCAGTCCGGGAAAGCAGATTATGGTTTTGTAAAGGGCGAATAAATGTATACTTGAATGTCTTGATTGTGTATTATCTATTCAAGTACTATGATTATGGATTTATAAAGGCTGTAAAGATAGGTCGACAATTGTTCAACCTAGTCTGGATTTATGCTGTTAATCCTTATTTAAGACTGTGAATAGCACAACTTCAGAAAAGATTTAGTTTAGATAAAATAGCCTCTCTTCTGCAGCCTTTCATAGGGGCTTTCAAAAAGTGACCGACAATGTAATGTCACAGTTATATTTAAGGAAAGCCTGACTGTTTTTGTCATATCAAATACACAACAGTAAAATGAAGGACAGGAACTACTAATTTCTGTCAAAGCGAAACTTGTAATCTAGAGTCTTTCCATTTTTGCTCAGAACATGTGATGGCAGTTTGCTTTCACATGATTACACACATGCAGATCCCTTTGAGCAGCCTGCTCCCTGCGAGTGAGCACTGCTTGCTGTGAGGAGCTCGGTGTGACCTCTCGCTCGTTAGAAGATAAAGGATATGGATATGAGTGGACATACATTATAGGCTGCGGGTCATCAGGTGGTCTTTCAGGCTGCAGCTGCCATATTTATTTCAGAGGGAGAAGACAGAAAATAACAAAAGGAAAAGAAAAAAAACAGAAATTAGGCTGTGCAAAGAGACAGCAGATGGGTTGAGAAAGTAAAATAAGAGAATATGATGGCTAAACAGAAAATGAAGGACGCTAGAGGCAAGATGTAGAGCGACTGTAAATACAAGGTAGAGTCACAGAGCTTGGTTTTCAGTAATAATGAAATGAATATTAATGGTCAGGCCACTTGTCTTGTCATCTTTCTCCTTGACTGATCATGGAAGCAGGCTGCACACTCACCATAATCATGTCCTCAGTCTCAGAGGTGGTCAGGGGGATGACAGGAAGAAGGTAATTATGCACTCGTTCACACCTTTCTCTTCAAGTTAATTTTACATTAAAATGTGCGCTTCACAAACACAGCTATGCCAGCACACAGCCTTGTAAAAATACACATAACGCTTATTAGAAGGTGTACAAATATTCAGATATTCAAACAAAAGACATTCTTAAAAAAATAGTACAGATAATTCTGAGTCTTATAAGTCAGTTATAAATGAATGAAACTAAGTCCCTTTGTAAACAAGTATCTTTGAAATGAACAGAATCTACAGTATGTTTGTGCATCAATCATCTAACAAACAAAAAAAAGCATGTGGTTAGCTTCAGTACAGCAAAATAAAGACAACTGTCAACCAACTCAATCGTTATGAAAACAACTGAAGTGTGATGATTTTTAACTGAAGATGTACAATACTGATACACATTCAAGTAAAATGCTTTGACTAACAAATACTCAGTTCAGTCGTCCCTTATGATTTTGACAAACATCACTTTGGTGAAAACGTTTCAAGAATCTCAGGCTACCTGAATATATTCTGTGGAATTCAAGTGGGTTGGTTTCTGTCAGCAAAATCTATCAGATTTTAAAACTTTCACTTTAAAATTGTGCGATTAAAAGAAGAAAGATAAAACATTTTTTTCAATTATTCTTAATATCAATAAGTCCAATAAAAAAGACCAAAAATAACAATGAATATATCCTGCTAATAACTATCACCTGTGAAAGCCGGATATGTTCTTTTGCACCACAGACCTCCTTTGTGGTCTATTTACCACATCAGTGCGACACACTGTTGCACTGTGTGGCATGTTCCTTCATTACGATGAACATGAGCACTATAGTTTATTCAGAGTTACTAGATCACTCATTGTGGATTGATCCGCAGCTTAAAGTAGTAACTAACAAATATATATCCTATTTATTCCTGTTTAAGTACTATTTGCTAAAAACTACGGTGCCCAGCTGAAGAAAGTATTGTTGGTTTTGGTCTTTCATAGGATTTGTTTACAATAACCAAAATATAGAATATCACCAGCCTTGTCCATACATATTTCCCCATTTGAACAAACAGTGAGCTTTTATAATCTGCGCTTCCCAACCTCTTGAATTTAAATCCTTTATTCCCTCATCCTCAACTAATATGTCTCACTGAACGTTTACTCCTCTTCTCCAACGGCACCCCACCACTCCTGAGAGGGAGCCTCCAGGCTCTTCTGGTTGGAGTCTCCGTGAAGTTGCTCCTCTCCCTCTGCCTGCTGTCCACCAGTCTGCTCCCAGTCCACCTCTTTAAAAGAGGTTCCCCCGAGCTTCTCTCTCTGTAGTCTCTATCCCCTTGATCCTGGATAGGCACAGAGTGGACCGAGGACGCCGCCAGGGACGTCTCTCTGCTGTCTGACAGGAAAACCCCACTCCCTGAGCTGTATTCACTGTTCGACTCTGCACCTAGAGCAGTGATAAAACGAAAGGAGGAATAGACAGATGGTGAGAGGACTTCTATAAACAAACACCACATGAGAAAAGCTAGGTTGCCCAAAAATGTAGTGCTGGGATTCAACCAAAATCTGCATGATGGTATTCGAGCTGCACTGTGACTTCAGTCTAGAATAACTACAATCTCTTCCATGAGTTGTGCATGGAGGAAAACATATCTTAAAATGAAATGTCAGTATGTTATGTTTCATACAAATATGCTTTAGAAAGATTGTTAAAACAGCTCAGGGCAATAAAATGAGACTAGTCTACAGCCATGCTACTGGCTAACAGGTTTATGTTTACCAGGTATAACGCTGAGCATGTTAGCTACTAATGCCTCAAATTGTTGAGATACACAGCATGAGACAGACTGATAGACCCACAGACAGATCAACGTCTCCACCCACAGAGCCCTGCTGTAACATGGCCAACAACAAAGGCAGTGACAAAATAAAGATAACCTATAAAATGTCCTTGAGAGATGTTAAACCCTTGAAGTTGACTTTTGATTTTCACTTCCCTGTCAGCTTTGATGCATAACATACTGAACCATATTTTTTCATGATAAATCAAACATCAAAACCACCAAACTGAAAGATCCAAGAGAGATCACAGAGACCACGTTTATTTAAAGTAGTGCAACTCTGGTTTAATATTCCTTACAATTATTGGGCTAATCCTTGCTTACATTGACGTTTTTATAGATCCAGCTCATTTCTCTTATGCTGTATTTAACTGTTATATTTTCACACATTTGCATTTGCATCTTGCACATTCAGTTTGGTTTAGGATGATTACTGAATCAAGAACCAGAAAATCTAAATGAAATTCAAGTCCAAAAATGTGGAAGCAGGGGAATACGTATAATTCTTGTGTTTTATTTTTTTTATTCTTACCCAACAGAGCAGACATATGAGCCAAGACAGCCGTGCTTGCACTTATTTTTCAGTAATTATTTTACATTTTTTTCGTTATCTCGAGAAAACAAAAGTCAGATTTCTCCAGATCACAAGATAATTCATCATCACCAAACATGATCAATCAAGATTACTTATCTTAATTATGATGATGATGATATAAGATAATTATGCAGAACTTGAAAATGAATGTATGGTTCATTTAATCGCTCCTGTTTTCACCTTCAACACTGATCACTGTCGGGGAGGATACATAACTGAACTGAAAAGAGTTGTTAACAGAATGTTCATCTGAGTATTCATTTAATTAACAATTGATTAGTAATCCATTTTCTGGCACTGTGATGCAATGCTGATAAAAAAAATATCAGGAGAAAATAGAGATTTATTAAATGAGCTTAAAGGTCTCTGCAATGTTCTGATTATTTTTACGCACTTTTACCAGGCTGCTGGCTCATTTTAGTCTGTATGAAAATTAATATTAACTGGCACATTGCATGTCATTCCTCCATGAACTGTAAATTATGTCCAACCAATGCTACATCTAATACAGTATACCATCTATGCATGCTGGCATAGCACTCCTGATCTCTGATAAACATTTAGTAATAATTAGAAACGACCTTTTGTTTTATTGTAACAACGGGTTGATTATCCCGTTATCTGTTGAGAACAGTAAAAAAAAAAAAAGAAGAAATAATCCATTTGTGATCTTGAGATAACAGAATAAAAAAAAATAGTCATTGCAAGCATGGCCATTCTCGGCTTCCGTAGTATATCATGCTTGTCACACATTCTTGCGGTTGTTAATGAACTACAGCATGAGCAGCAACACCTTGAGCTGTGACCTGAAGTCAGAACTCAAAATAGGCACTGAAATTTGGTTAATTCTAAACTCATGTAAGGTAAAGGTCTTCTGCTCTTTAATTGGACGGGTTCATATAAGCAGCCCAACCACTTGAATCCTCAGTGTTTTTTAGTTTGTTCCATGCAGGTTAACAGGATCAATTTCATACGTGTGTGTGCCAGTCTGTTGACCTTTTGTCTTTGTGTGGCTGCGAGTGTTTCCACATAACGCTCTTCTCAAATCAATATCTCCTTACACTAAGCCACCCTGTCATTACCTGCAGACCTGATATGGATACACACAGATGACAAGAACTAACCTTTCATATGAAACAATAGAGTAGCAAAAAAGAGGCTAATTGTCTCTCTTACAGGTGATCAATACATCATGACCTACAACGAATTATCAGAGGCAACTGAGTTTTGTGCAGTTAACAGAATGACAGGTTTGAGAAAGTCTCAAGTTCAATTCAGGAGGAATCTAAAAAAAAATAAACCTTTAAGAATGTTTTTTTCTCTGAAAATCACTTTAACATTTCATTCTAGGCATTCAGAATGAACAGGGGCTGTAACCTACTCAAAGACGTACTTAGATTTCAACTCAGTGACAGGTTCTTAAGACACCAAACAGTAAAACAAAACAACCTTTTTCTTTTATTCTCATCCTCATTCAACTTCAAAAGGAGAACTATACACTTCTATACATTTTAAGCACATTCCACTTTCCCCTGCTTATTTGCACTACACTGCACTACCTCACCTTAACTGTGCCCTTGATTGTTGACTGTTTATTTTTATGTCTTTTCTATTACCTAATATTTATTATTTCCTATTATTTAGTATATTGCCTTTTGCACCATGGGTCCGAGAGGACTGAAATTTCATCTGTGCTGTATGTCGTGCATGTATAGCATATTTGACAATAAAGCTGACTTTGAGAGACATGTTGAAAGTTACACTTATGATCTCCAGTTAAGAGACTTCCAACACTAGAAGCAAAATACAAAAAGAGGAAATGGTGTTACATAGCAACATGTAGTACACAACAATAATTACCCTGAAAATAACTTCAGAATATTGAAAATTGAATCGGGAGCTGGAGCTCTGTTGCACTTAGTCCAAACATAAAAGACCTTAAGGCTCATGCTGTTGTGTCACACATCCCCAAAATATGATATTAGAAAAGATGAGAGACGTCGCAGTGGAAATCAGTTCATGTTGACCCAGAGTATGAGACTGGGGCCAGGATGGAGCGCACACAGGCGTTTGAACCATGAGAGTTTAAACTAATTCCATGTAAACTGCATAGCTGATTGAATGATAAATTATGTATTCCCAACAATAACATTGGACAATGACGATTTCCACCTAGTGGAAGAGAAGTTGAGAAAAATACAAGTCATACAAATCAGCACTAAACACTATGTACAGTATCAATTTAACTCCTATTTATCTTTATAAAAATGCATTTAAAATTCAAATAAAAAAACAACCTAATTTGAATCTAGCCACAAGCTCTTACTGATAAATTTACACCCACGTCATGTGCATTTGACTGATGGAGCCAAGAGAAAAATGAAATAAAACACAAAAAATATGCAGACTGAGCTTTGAAAGATCAACGAGTTTGGTCTCATGTTGGTTTTCCTCTGCTGGTTGAACGCCTAAAGCAAGTCACAAAATTTAATAAGTCATTGGGGAAGAAAAATCCCATTTGGACTGGGAGATACACATTTGGCATGATATCTTAATGTTTTTATACGAAAATTGTCTCTTACATTTGATTTTGAGGGGTTTAGTGGTGCCTTCAGGCAGCAGTCTATACATACATCTGAGTGACAGTTGATCCTTTACTGGAACTAGACAGAGAAAGATGCAAAATATTCAGGCTCAAAACCTGTTGGGTAAAAATCCAATATGCAGATTGCATATTGTGTAATGAGTGACAACAGCAGCTGTAGACTTGAGACTACAGACTTGAAGGTTATTTAGACTTGAGTCTCACAAATGAGGACTTGAGGGCTAACTGATTTGACTTGGTGCAACACTAAAAAGCAAAACATTTGAAGTCTCAGATTTTGGTGGTAAAATCCTGAAATAATAAAAAATAAAAAAGACAGGCAGGTCTTGCTTGCCAAGAGTTAGATGAGATCAATACTCCTTTCATATAGAGTATGTCGAGTAAGTAGAAACTAGAGCCATGAGCGATTATCTTAGCTTAGCATAAAGATTAGATTATCCCGACTATATCCAAAGTAAAAAAAAACAGAAACAAAAAAAAAAAAAACACGATCTACCAGTTCTTTCAAAGTGCACTAATTACATGTTATTGTTAATTGGTTAGTCTCTGCTACTGGTTGCCTGGCAACCTCAAATTAACACCCCAGGAAGTCACTGCACCAGGCCAAGAAATACTCACAGCACGTTACTCCACATAAAGCAACAACTTTTAATTTCTACATTTATGCTTGTGTACATATTAAATTAACAAGATATATTTTTTAATCAGGCTAGCTGTTTATCCCTGTACGAGTCTTTATGCTATTATAATTGCTGCTGGCTTTATAATACATATGCTATACAGCTCAATGTGGTGGGCTCCACTGGGTCCCGGCTAATCCAAAAACGGATCCAAAGACTTGGAGCGTTGGTGGAGCTGATGTGGGCTGAATGAAGCCTTAATATAATTTTAACGAGTGAGTTATATAAAAATTCACCCCCAATTAGCTATAGAGACCCAAAACGTTTTCTGGCCCTTCTGCTTTGGCTTCATCTTTCAGCCAAAGTGGTTGTTGCTTGGATTGGTAATTATATTCTCATCTAACTCTAAAAAAGTGAACAAGGGCGTTTCCCAAAATGTCACACAATTCCTTTGGAGGAAAAAGTTGAAATGCTCTGACCATTTTAAAGCTCAATACTCAGAGACCTGAACAACTTACATTATTTGTTTAGGAAAATTTGTGACATGACTTGCACTTTAACAAGACTTAAGGTTTGACGTTGACTTGCCCTAAAAGACTTTAAAATAGCTCTGGTGACAAATTCACTTGTGTAGTGACCTATGTTTGAGACTGAAAGGATGATTTCTAGGCTGCTGTCTGACAGACTGAGGAGCCATGTGTGAGGAGGCTTGGGGGTTGATCCGGTCACCAAGACAGTGTCGGTATAGAGAAGTAGGAGGGAGCGGATGGGTGGGTTGGGGGGGGGGCCAGTGAACCAAAGCAGCCTCCAGTGTCCCGAATGCTCCACTGACCGGGCTGGGTTGATCCCAGTGTGACAGGAGCATGGCTACCTGTCACATTATCATTCACAGTCATAGACCCAAATGTCGTTCCAACTCGTGCATGTGCACATGACACATAAAAAGCACAGGATTTGTCAACACCTTTCAGTTTCACTCTATTTTGCAGCAAAAAATGGAGATCAAGATGGACCTTTGAGCTAGGGTTTTCTCTGGTGTAGTTGTAAAGTTTGAGCTTGCGAGTGGAAGATAAAGAGAGATGTGATACTGAGGGGGTTGGACAAAACCAGACAAATACATTACAGTTAGGAGCCACAAGTCCCGTAATTCAAACCCTTAAACCCTTACTAAGAAAAGACAGCAGTCACTTTTGTAGAGCATCACTCAATTGTAAATATAAATGCAGATATAAAGAAAAAAATCATGGTGTGGATGCCACATTACATCATATACATTCTTACACAGTGACCAAAACTGGATAACTTCTGGCACCAGTTCTCACATCATCCCAAGTCAGGTTATATTAAAAAAAATCTGACAGTTTGAGAGTAAAACAAAAGCAATTTGTCAACAATTAAAATAATTTGGAAAGATGATTGAGTTGAATGTGACACGGATGGCCTCATACACTGTGCTCCTCAGTCAGACTGTACTTTCTGACAACACCATAAACATATTAGATTCAGTTCTTTTAGAGACGTGGAAAACAACTTTATCTCACAACTGACTACAAAAACTTCTTATATGCAAAATAATACAAAGATGAATTATATTATGTCTAGGGTTCCAACTATAGAATATTTTTGGGATCAATCACTTATATTGATTTTTTTGATCACTCTTATCATTCAGTTCATTAAATGAGAATAGTGAAAAAATCCCATCACAAGTTCCCAGAGCCCAAAATGACATCTTCATATTGCTTGTTTTATCTGACTAATAGTCCAAAATAAAGATATAAAATATTCAATTTGCAAAACAGAGAGAAATTCTTTAGAGAATCAGACAATTATTTATGTCAATCACCTAATCTAATAATTGCTGTAACTCTAATCCTATGTATTTAAAACCCATCATCAGCTAGATGTTCAAAATTAAATTTATAATGTAACTGTGTATTCTGTTTTGTTTTTCTGTTGTTACCGTTCCGTTTGTGTCCTTTAAGTGTCAACTAGGCTATATTTGGATAGATTATAGGGGCCTCCTGTTTGGAATTGAACTAAACTGAACAATATGGCTTGTGTCACAAAGCTGTAGAAATTAGGTGCTATGAAGCTGTTATCATCAAACAGGCTTATTTTCACACTTCATGTCAACTCATGATTAGACTCGCTTCATCTCACTTCATTCAGTATTGACTCTTTAAAACACTCCTTCACAAGCTTTTATGTCTCATGAGGATAAATTAGTGTCAAGTGGAATTGTGTTAAAGTGCTTGTGCATATTTTACATTGAAAGTAAGTTTTACATATGGTGTCCGTGAAGCTGTGGACAGCCCCTTGGTGAGTGGCAGCACACTTCCACCAGAGGCTGTTGTGTCTGGGCTTTTCATTAACACCTAAGAAGGTGTCAATCACAGTTTGCTTCTGTGGGGATGCTCATAAACAAAACAGCAGTAGAAACAAAGTCCTAATCCCCCGGGTTCCACCCAAGCGGCAGCTACTACAGCTGAATGCTGAAACCAAAAATCAGATGCTTTAGCACACAGTTTTCTGATGGCCATAAAAAATTAGCTGACTGTATTGAAACTTTCTTCCTGAAATAAACTGTCAAGAACTTTTGTATACATTTGTAATTTATGGTATTAGCAGCTACTGTCTCTTCTCTGAAATGTGTCTTTCAGATATTAAAAAGCTTAAGGCAGCACTAGTCAATATATATATTTTATTTACAGTGTAATGTAAAAGGGGCAGCTCATTATGACAAAGCCACAGAGAATTATTACCCAAATCTGTAAGTTGCCCTCAGCTCTACTGAGTGTTTTAGTGTTTAGTGTCTTTCAGTTCATTGTTTTGGTTTTACAGCCTGCAACTATTTGGTTTGTTGTTTTGGTTCACTCTCACTCTCACTGCTCTCATCAACCTTGCTTCTGGCAGCATCAGCAAAATGGACCCTAAAACACTTATTTCATCATCAACATCATATTTCAATGATGGGTTGGTAGAGATAAAAATAGACCTAAAAAGAAGGTGAATATCGGACTTAAATTTGTCAGGTGGCCAAAAACATGTTATTATTAACAAATGTTAATTAATTAATGTTAATGTTGTTGTTGTTAATGTATAAAGGCTGCACAGTAGATATCCTTTTATAAATGTGAATTATTTGGTGAAACCGGCATTTTTTTCTGGCCTGCTAGGTTTACCTGTAAGTACAAAAAAATGTATGTGCTGCATATGCAGTATAGCATGATGTACACATACCTGAGACATCTGAATCACTGTGCGATTCTTCTTCTTCTGACAGCCTCCTTTTTACCCGCCGGACTTCAGGCACATAGAAATCTCCCTGCCGAGCCAAAGGGGCCATGAACTGGATCTTACCCTCTTTGTAGATCTCAAGGAACGGGTGTGCACACAGCCTCCTTTCCTGTGAGGGATGTTTAAATTTGGTGCGATTAAAAACCATGCTGTACAACAAATATAATGCATTAGATTAACAGTTTAGGTAGTAATTAGTAGTGTCAGCAGACTGCGTACATGTTAAAAATGTCACTGCTAATTTAACTCTGACAGTGGAAAGACTCCAGTGCCAATGTTAAAATGAGTGTCATCAACACTTATTACCTCTTGAAAATTTGCTCTATGTGTTTGAATGCACACATACATGGTGTGCATGTAATGGACAGAGGAGACACCACAGTAAGATACAAGCGCAGACATGCCAATAATCCCACAAGTCTGCAACCAGTCACCGATTTATTTTCATATATGGAAACCTCAATGCTTCACCTCTGAACTAACATGAACGTCTTCACACCCCACATCTTGGATCCCTACAATCTGTCTTTATGAATGTTCTGCCTCCACTCTTCAAGCTGCCTCTACTAAAACTGCCATTCTTCTTCTGTTACTTGCCTCACTCTTTTAGAAGTGGGAAGTCTCACATGACAGAGACCATTCCACTTCTCCGGGCTCATTAACCTTTCATACACCATGTTTGTTATTCAGCTCATGTACAGCCAATGTCTGTTACTTTCACCCTTTTGGCACATGCCAAATGTTGAGCAATACTAACACACTGCAGCTACAGTGCAGTATCTCAATATGATCAATTATTGAAAGATAATTTGTTTTAATTAACTAAAATTGATGTCAAATGTCATAACTACTGGACCATTACTGCTGAGGTGTAACACATTTGTTGCTGTTTGATGCAATTTAAGAATTGATTATTATCTGGTGTGATATTCTACTTTAGACTAAAGCACAAGCAATATTATTTGTCTTATGGTGAAAAGGGATAATAACTGAAAGCAAGGCATGACACATAGACTAGTGTAGTTTAAAATTAGGCTGTTGTAATTAAAAGGAGGGTGAGATGTGCATACATTAAATTGAAAATAAAAGCATGGTAATGAGTACCTCTGTATTCACACTTCCATCTCCAAACCCTGTGTTTCATCACTGACATGAACTATATTATCCGAAGTACTTCAGACCATAAATTATTTCCTACACTATGGCAAATTCATAACATCTCCCAAAGAGTTGAAACTGTTCAGATTATTGTTATTTCTTGACAGATCCTGGGAGTACTGAGTCCCTGTGCCCCTCGCTAACGTTCCAGTTTCAAACTAAGTGGAAGTGGTGACAAGCAGATTACTGTTCAGTGGAACAACAGAGACGTCGCACACGTAGGATCTGATAATCAGGCTCGTAGACTGAACAGATACACATAAGATAGATTCTTTGTAGGAGATAGATGACTTCTTTTCAAACTCTTGCCTATCCAATCTCTCACCATCTGTCTCTTAGCCCAATTATGACAGCAGTGACGTTTCCTCTAGCTCTGCAGGAACAACATTGTCAGATTCAGTGATTTCAGCAACATCAATTATTGGTGGATATTTCCTTCAGAAACATCTGTATCCTCATTGGCTTGGCTCATCAGCTGGAGTCAGACATCGACTGCAACATATTGCATATTGATGTGCATGCAGGCGTACACACACACAAGTTTTTTTTTGCAGTTTAGACACTAAATAAATGATCTAATATGAAAATTTTTTTGCTTTAATTTACAGAATACAATAAATGCAAAAGATATTGGATTTGGCTAGTTGGTGCTGAACACAACAAGGGATTGGAGAGAAGCTCACAAATGCAGAACTGCCGACAACATGTACCGAATAAGTAGACTCAACAGCCTAATGGCACACTTAAAAGATCCAAGCACAAAAGAATTATATGCCAAGGGTGGATTTTAAAAGCACTGCGTTTACCCCTAGAGGACAATAATAGAAACACCTAACTAAAAATGAATATAAAGAACATAAGAGTGAGGGGCCACTCTTTCTCTGTCTGAACAGCTACTATCCTTGTTTCACTTTTTTTAAACAAATCCTGGACTCTTTGCAGAGGGACAGCCTACAGTTCAGTAAGTGATTAAGAAAGTGGACATATGTTTGTGTCATAACATCCTGTAATTAATTAGTAACGCTTACATCCCGGAGGCCACGTAAGATGTCTAATTTTAAACTGGCATTGATAAAAACAATTTTGTATTTGCGTCACAGTGTTTGTGGGGTCCTGCCTAGGTCTAATGTCATTGGGACATTATTATTTACACTGTGGGAAATGGAAACATTATGAGCAAAGAGGTGTTTACAATGGAAATTAGGGTACATCAGTTTCTACATAATGGCCTCAAATAGACCTTGGCAATTATGTGAAGGTGCAGAGAAATAATGTAACCTAATGCGCCCTTCAAGACGGCAAAAGACACTCGAGGTTAAAAAATATATTCTGGCTTTCTCAAAATGTAAACAAAACTGGAAGTAGGACAAAACAACTTATCAGGCCTTACCGCTCGTGGGTTGTGCTATTGTGACTTGAATATAAGCCATTTTCCCAGCTCCATCATAAAAATCTGCTTTGTGAGGCTCTTTTGTTTGGGTTAAAATTAAGATGTTGGGTAAATTGTTAAAAATGTACCCTTTTCGCTTTGTCAATGCAGTGCAGCTTACATTTGTCATTATTGTTGAAACTACTTTCCTTGTCACATCAAATAGTTTTTGATTTTGTGACAGAAGCACCCATAATTCTAGGTTTCTTGACACTGCTCAGCCATAACATTATGACCACTGACGTCCGTGGTTGGCATATATTAGGCAGCAAGTGAACATTTTGTCCTCAAAGTTGATGTGTTAGAAGCAGGAAAAATGGGCAGCGTGAGGATTTGAGCTTTGACAAGGGCCAATTTGTGATGGCTAGACGACTGGGTCAGAGCATCTCTAAAACTGCAGCTCTTTGTGGGGTGTTCCCGGTCTGCAGTGGTCAGTAACTATCAAAAGTGGTCCAAGGAAGGAAAAGAGGTGAACCTGGAGACAGGGTCATAGGCTGCCATGGCTCATTGTAGGGGAGTGAAGGCTGGCCCGTATGGTCCGTAAAGTAAATGCTGGTTCTGATAGAAAGGCGTCAGAACACACAGTGCATCACAGACTGCGACCAGGTGGTCATAATGTTATGGCTGATCTGTGTACTTTTTTCATGTAAATTTATGTCCTTGCAGAAAGCTATTAGGTTTCTGCTAAAAGTCGAGTGAATCATCTGTGCATCTGCCTTTGTAGCTGATTGTTTCGAGAATTTTCATGCCTTCTTTCCATTATTTCGTTTGTCTAACTACTGAACATCTACAAAAAATTAACCCCCGCTCAAATGAATTCCTTGTGAAAACAGAAGTCCTTGTGAAAACAGAAGTCAGAAGCCGCATTACATTCATAAAAAAGTAAAACTGCTTTTTGGCAGAAGGTGAAGGAGGGAGTAATTTTGACATTTTCAGACCAACAGTGATGGCCAGACAAGTGAGTGAAGAATAAAGGAATTCTAAATGCTAATTCATTCTGAACAGATTGATATTCAGCAAGAGGGTTCGCTCTCCCGTGCACGCTCTAAACATAACTGCTGTTTTTATTGCTTCCTGAGTCGGAAGTTCTCCAGAAAATGTATAACAAGGGCACTCTTTTAAAATAAGAGTTTAATTTTACCTTAAAAGGACCAATATGGGATTCAGTGACACCCAGTGGTGTGTTTGCAGATTGCAACTCCCTTACTTCACCCTCCACTTCCAAGTATGAAGGAGCAACTACAGTGGCCACAAAACAGGCAGAAAATGCAAATGGCTACTACCTAAAGCCAGTGTTTGGTTTGTCCGTTCTGGGCTCCATGGAAGGCGACCCACGGCATCAGTAGAAAAAAAAAAAGTAAGGATTTCACACTAATGAAAACACATCTATGAATATTATATTCCATTTTTCGCTAATAGATACTCCTAAATATTACAAACTGGACTTTTAAACTATGAAAGACAAAACCAAGATATATTGTTTTGCATTCAACAACCACAACTTGACAGCTGCAGCTGTTAATGCCTCAAACTCATTGTTCTATATAGTATTTAATGTACAGTAGACAACACATATTTAAATAAGAAGATGACCAGAATTTGACCCCAATACCACACATTAGCTTCACAGAAAGGCAGATGAAGTAATGTGCGTATGCAAAAATACCAGAGGCTAGACCAGCAGCAGGGCGGGACTTGTCTTTTGTGTTTGAAGGCGAGCCAGAAGCATCACAGTTTAGACCTGAACACCTTTTTCTGTACTTGTACATAATGTGCACGTAATGCTTAGAGCTGATAAAATAGTTGATTATACATATTATATTCCATCTTCGCTAATAGATCCTCCTAAATGTGACCTTTAAGTGATTTTTCAAGCAGAACTCTTTATGTCATTATTTTCTGACATTCTATACACTAAACATTGATTAATGAAGAAAATAATCATCAGATTAATTGATGAAGAAAACAGTAGTTGCATCCCCGTGGTGTTTTTGTAATATTTTAAGAATTTATTATTAACTGTAATAAAAAAACTACAATTATCTGTACTTAACTGTATTTAAGACTATTAAAAGGCCTTGATTTTAAATTATTTCTTTAACTGACCATTATTATTTGTGCACCACAAAGAGGCCTAATAGGTATAGGCTCCATGTGTGGGTGCACAAATAATAATGGTCATGGAGCCTATACCTATTACTTACAGTCCCTGCCAGGTGAGTAAATCACCAGTCTAACCCAGTGAGCCTCGCTATGCAGTGAGGTCAGTTTCTCTGTGTCCTATAAACAGAAGACCTGGGACAGAGGGCGAGCAAATAATAAGACCAGCAGTGGGATCACTGTGACCTGAGACAAACTGTGCACAGTGGGCTTTTTTAATTGGGTAGGGGGCTGTGGATTGTGTACCTATTGATTTTTGTTTGATTTTCTCCATACTCGCCTGCAGTATCAGGGCCTCGGGAGCCCATGAGAGCACTTAAGGGCACATTTCAACAGGGTCATAGTAAAGTCATTTATTTCTT